GAGTGATATATTCCACGGTAGGAAGATTATTCACGGCTAAAAAATTGTCACAGGGATTTATTGTGACGTTCAACAGTTGACACAAACACAGAGATTTAGTCCCACTGGTTCAACGGTCAACAAACAGTTCAACGGGCGTAAATACAGTCGTTCAGCAAGAAGTCAGCAGGTCGCGCCGGAAAATTGTGTATTCGTAACATTAAAACAAACGTCATGATACAATGTGAACGACAGTTACAAAGTATGGTTCAAGTTCAGGAAGAATGGTGAATGTGACAACGGATTACAGACACACTACAAACATGACATGAGTAAGACTGCAGTCCGAAATGGCAGGCAGCTAAAAGTGGTCACAATCTTTCACTAATGCAGTGAGGTGACTGCGCCCTATTTCAAAAATGATAATCGGCGTACAGGTTAAGATGGTGGCTGGCTTGCAGTTAACATTGGTGGCCACGCACTGGCTAAATAGTACACCGCTAGGATAGTAGCTGACTGCGCAATCGTTCGTGAAGCTGGGCAAGAATGGCAGTTATGTGGTAGTAGGTCACGGTGGTGATGTTTTAAGCGTGCGTGCTTTCCCGGCTAGTTCGCGTGGCCGGGCAGTTAGCTGGCGAGCATTTGGAAAGGATAGATTATAATGCATTGGGGCAATTCAAGGACGAAAGTTGTGTTAGAAACTTTTGGAGCGGTTCAGTAAGACTCATTCGGAACGTAGAGTGAGCTGCAATGGAAGACATGTTGGTAGTTAGGGGTCATAGCTTATCGCATCATGCCGACTGGGGATATGGTTGACTGTTTGATCTTAAATATCTTGCGGCAAGTAGTGCTAGCTAGCTGCGGCATCTGGGTGCATCTGGAGAATTCAGTAGTTCATTGCACACAGGAATAAGTGACGGAAGAAGAGCACATTGTTGTGTTCCATGTTTGGACGACAAGGTGACCCCGACAGTGTGCATTTACAGCCGAAGAGAAAAGGTAAGGCTTTCAGAGTGAATTGCTTAATAGGCGTAACATCGCGTGTCTCTAGTGGAGTTTTGCTGACCCTCAGTCCTTTTCGTCCTGTTATAATTGATGTTTAAACTTTCTGTTCAAAACGTTTATGGTCCATACAGGTTCAACGATGGACCAATCGTGCTAATTAAAAAGTTGCTAACATCGTATATGGTGGAGTTTGGCCCTAGGGAATGCTAATGCGAGCGGTGATGGTATATGAAGCAGGGTTATTTTGCTGCCTGTTCACGGTCAATCAAGAGGCGTGTATCATCCGTGATGTTGACAATGAACTTCCGCACGTTTATTCTGTCCCCATTTATAACCCCCGCCCCACTTTTGTGTTCACTGTGTATATATGAACTGATGTTTATTTGTCCTTACCACTTCACGCATTTGGCCTTAAGGTCATTCGGCCATTTGTATCTGATTTTGCACGTGTGGCTGTCACACGTGGGAGCTTGTTTGCTCCTTTGCCCTACACTTTTGTAGTCCAAGTGGACTGTTTGTTTTGGACGCGTATTTACTGTCGAGGTTTGTATAAATTGTGAATATCTCTTACCCCAATAGTACCGTATAGAAACCCAGCTCCGACTTTGTTTTGCCTACCCGGAGGTTCTGGTATTACGCGTCACTCGAAGATACCGTTCGATTGTTACAGTGCGTTTAACGGTGTAAGTAAGTGAATGCAGAAAAACTAAGTCTGAAGCCGCGGCAGAGAAAGGAGTCTGAGGCGTGGAGATGACCACTGAAAAGGAGCATGCAGCCATGCCTTCCTTCGCATCGCTGAGGCCCGGACGTGTGTAAGGGAGCACTGGTATAGAGAGATTCGGTGGACATTTACGGATGAGCAGAGCACATTGTCTGATTAAGCAGAGAAAATAAGGGTAAGCAAGCGGGGCACAATAATATGACGGATGATCAAGAGTCAGGGACTGTCGACCGCTTAGAGAACAAAGATGGAATGGGTGCCACTGTGGCGATGTATCTTACTTGAATGTGGATTCAATAGTATTCGTTCCTGTGAAGGTGACTTAGAGAAAGCCTTGTAGTCCTTGTCTAGATCACATTAGAAGTAATTGTCTTGGTTGCCTATGTATTCGGACAGTTCAGGCGTGGCCGTAAAAGTCAAGAAGGGCCGCAGTCAAAAGGCATATACAATGAGTTGTACAGAGCTCAAACCTGGATGACAGAAATTAAAAGCCTTAATCTAGCGTGTTGAGTGTATATGACATGTATCGAACTTCTCCAGATATAACCAGATATTGAAGATCAAAAAAGAGTGAGTTTACAAACGCAAGTATGGGAGCTGATGATCGGTGTCCTCGTTGGTGAGAGTGCTGCTGTGATTGGGCATAGGATGGTTCAACGTAACGATAAGGACAACAGAGCTCTTGATTTTACCAAGTCACATGGACTCGGTACCATTAGGTAGTAGAGAAGTGATGTTGAGTTTTGATGCTTTAAAGGAGAGGATTTGACACCTGGTAACCCCCACTTATTAGGTCGCTACTACGGCTACATTCATTGGCATGCGTGTAAAGATTCATGAGATCCTTTAGTCCCAGAGATCGAGTTCAAACAATGCGAGCCCCCTATTTCTATATGTTCACCTCTTTAGCCTTGAGTTCGCTGCGTCCAATAATGTGTGTGGTCAGTGAACATCAGCGCCACGACACCAGTGTACACATGGATCCTTCACGATCATCAATAGGACCAGCTGGAGAGGCGTTATTTGTGTGAGGTTTCAATAGGAGTGCACACAAGCAAGGGCCTACTAGTCACAATATGCAACAAACCTAAGCGCTTTGGCCTAAGGCTATGGGCATGAGGGGCAGTCGACGGCTGCTGGGCTGACCATCACGCGCAGCCTAGGATTTACTCAACGGTGGGCATATTTGCGGACCCTCCGTTCACTAGAAGTAGACAGAGCAAACGATGAAGTGTGCAAGTATTATGACGAAGGGCACTGGTTTGCCTTATTTTTAAGAAATCACGTTATGGCGTAACCGACTTTATTGGCGTCATAACTTCCAACGGGAAAAATTTCTCACCGAAATGGTGGCGGTTCACATGCATATACCTGGTAACGCTACGTTGTCTCCCGACTAGCTGCCCATTGGTTGGTATGGGTATCATGCATGATGGTGCACATGTGCATCAGGACAGCACAATGCATCAGGTTATCCACACTTATTATGCTAGCTTCTCAAACAACAGCGTTCTGTTAGCATTTGGTGAACAAACGAATCCAAGTTGTTGGGTTTCATGGGTATTCACGGACCCACAAATTCACGGGTTTGTACACTGTATCTAGGCTTTCGCTGAAGTTCCCTTGGGCAGTTTTTATTTGTCCCTCAGCGGCTGTCGTTCACCTAAAAGACTCAAGCCAAAAGGGTGAGGCACTAGTATTTTAGATCTCGGTGCGAGGCAGCAAGCTTTCGAGCGCGAGGATTTGCATAGAAAAGCGTCTAATAGTGCTTTGAACTGGGTGCTAGATGCATCGTAAACAGCTGCCAAAGGAAGGAATTCCCACGCACCAACTACATAAGGTGAGAAAAGTTGTTGCCTGATAAACGTTGGTACATGAGCTTGAAAATCTCACCGTATCTCTTCCGTGTAATGAGTGGGTCACTTGTGAAAAATCTACTGGTAGAGGTTTGTTCAAACATGATTGATTATTCTGTTCCATTAGAGGCGACGATGCTCTATGAGAAATAGGCCAAGCTCTGCGAGACGCGTTTTATAATCACCGGATTTAGACCGACAACGATTTTGTAGCAACTTGCTGGGTATTCTCAACAAGACTCGTTCTTACGTCCTGAGTGGATAATTTGGTTGACGCGTTCAAGGAGCGGCCTCCCGTAGGCCCCATAGGTTATATGGACGTCCATGAGAGCAGGACAATAGAATGGACGCTAAATCATCCGTAAACCTGCAAATGGTGAATGGAGATGGACATGTATGAAGAGAGCCTAATACCCAAAATCTTTTCGTCATCTGTTTTCGCGGTGGCGGATCCATTTTGACCATGCACAACGTGAGCGTTCGATGTCTCCTCCGAATTATATATGGATACTTTTCGTCATCTATGGAGAGGTGCCGATCCCATGACCACTGCTTTTAGCGTCCACATCCATTTGGAAGGCAATGATATTAAAAATCCAGGATTTCAAGCCGTCCGCAAAAAGTATAAGTGGGCTTGCGAGAATATATGGAGGGCCGTCGATGTATGTCAGCAGCGGGACGAGCATGGCCCCATGTAAATATAAGGCCAGATCACCGGCTCTTTGGCGCTTTGCGTCATCTCTCTCTGTCGAGACCTCCACGTCATAGACAAACTTTCTGTAAGTACCATTGTAAATGGCTGTACAAGGCAAGCTGGGTGGTTGATATTGTGAAGCTTTTGAAAACACTGAGACAGGTTGTGGACAAGCAAGTTGAGAAGCTGAGAGGTGTGCCGCCAGAGTGGTTAGCAGGTTTGGTGGATGTACATCAAACTTCAGTCCAATGCAACAAAAAGACCTAGCGGCGCAACCGTCTAGTTTCTTCCTTAGTGGTTTTGAGGGCTGTTTTTCGTTCTGCAGAGTTTTTTCGCCCCGTGGAGTCCGGTTTGCGTGGGCCTGTTACTTTTGAGGGGCATAATATTTCCTGTCGTGAGTAAAAATCTTGACCACTACTACTTGCAGCTCGTTTACTATAGCCTTGTGGATAAGAAGGTTTACTGTTGCTCAATAATTTAGGAGAAACATGCGTCCCACCCGGTTTCTTAGGCATCCGGTTCGGTTTGGTTTGCGAGATGTCTCTGTCAAGCCCTGTACTTTGGGTGGCACCAACTAAAAGTATACCCTTTGGTGGCGCTTTCCTGAAGCTCGTTTCCGCATAGGATTGCACCCTGAAGACAGCAGATATCTTTCTGATCTGGCGAATTTTATGTGGTTTGCTAGACTGCAGTCGCTCTTTTGTGTTTTTGTGAAGTCCCAAAGTCTGCAACACGCAAGACCTACCTCCAACTGAGTATCGCTGCCTTCGGTTATCGAAGATTCTGCAACGGTTAAAATTAAAAGCTGCAAATCTGAGCAGCTCCGGTGGTATCGACGTGATTCAAGGGAACAGTGGCCTATAACCGCCATTAGTTTGGCCGTAATTTTTGGGTTGGCTGCACGTGGGCCAAGCAAAAGACCATTCCGCGTTTCCCCTCTGGGACTTTTGCGGTCTAGTTTTTGCGCTTCTAGAGAGTGATCCTCGGACATACGCATGATCGTCCAGTAAGCCTTCTAATTGCTCAAAGCCCACTACAGGATTTTCTGTACGACAGACGTGATGCGAGGGTAAGCAGAAGCCCGAATGTTCACTTGATTTCCTGCACGCGTAACCACTCTCCGTGAAGCGATCCATGCTTAGGCTTTGTGGGTGTGGGGAGCAGGGTTGCCAATTTATTTGGCGTGATTTTCCTGGGGGCTGACGCATAGATGATCCGCCTGCTCTCCCTCATGTGCCTATCCGCTAAAGATGCTGTGGTAGTCGACTGCCACATCGGATAGCTGGATGACATTCTCTGGAACCAGCGGACCCGAGGCGGATGGCGTTAGGTACTAGGAAGAAGGAAGAAAGTTTATCGTCAACGTTCGTCCAGACTGCTTGTTTTTGTGTGTATCTCCCCAGAGCTTCAGAAATAGACGCTAGTTCTGGGCGGAGTATCCCATTTGCACTGGCCTTTACGATTTAGCCGTGAGAACTCGATTTCGTTTTTGCTAGTTCTCGTTTTAGTTGAAGAATACATGACGCCCTCAAGGTAGATGCAGCCGGCACAGTCAAACGGGTCAGGACGGGTAGATTACTGATTTATCTGGTCGTTCTGTGAATTGTGCATCTAAATTGCCAACAAGACTAGCAAGTGTGAAATTGCATACCACGTCGAAAATTCGACGGATAAGCATTTCGCCGACATCTGTTGTGGTCAGTCAGTAGCCGTAGAGATCATCATGTACTGATCTGCCTCATGACTGAGACTGGGTGCGACCCAAAAACTGAATGTGGACTGACAGAGGTTTCCACGCGAAGTTTATCTAAGAATGAACAGTTCAGCAAAATGACACGCGTTAACCCAGTAAATAGATTGAACAGTGAAGGGATTCTTTCAACTGTCTGCAGGAGTCCGCTGGCTATTTGCACACCAAAATTATTTTCGCCGAAACTGTGGGGTTTTGGAAGTTGTGATTTTGACGGGGAGTTATTCTAATCCGTTTGCATCTCCTGGTGATATGTCGCCAGTGGCATTTTGTTTTATTGGGCGAAATTTCAAGGTCACGGACCTTCACCGATTCGCATTTTCTTACCGGTTTACGAGACACGAAATACGAAATCGCACTTCAGCATAGTTTGGCGTCCTTCGGTGTTCTTTAAAAATAAAACACGTTTAAAGAATACTTAATGCAAATTTCACCCCCAGGAGACCGCTTTTTGACGTCTGTTTGCTTTACAGTCCTGAGATTTAACAAATGCGGTTATAACCGCAAAATATATTTTGTTCGGAAGACCTGATCACAACGCCTCTTCCAACTTCCATTAAGTACAACATTGTTAGACAAAACGTGAGCTGTGCAGCGGCGACGCGAGGGTCATCTCAGTTGAAGATCCCCCCTCCCAGATATGCACAACTATCCTGTAGCTGAAGGTATCATTCCCATTGTGGATATGGCGCTCTAAAGGTGGCGACCACCATAAAGCTGTCGTCATGGTAACGGTGGCCGTTGTCACTCATCTCGAATACTTATTGTAAATACTGGGCCCACGTCAATGTGCGACGCTGATCATGAGAACTCATCTGGGCACAGTAACATAATCCAATGGCCAAAGACGGTCTTTCATAAACCATAGCCCTACGCAATAGCGCTTATCTTTGCTACTCATAGCAAACACTGGGCCAGACCCATGCGGGCCGGTAAAAATGAGCCCAATCTGATGGCTTGTCATACCTATCGCTGTGCTCGATGTCGCCTAACCTGGCCACTTATCGCACCTTCTAGTTCCGTGCCAATGTGCGGCGTTGGTTAACCGGTAACCTAATCCAACCCAATCCGTCGTACTCGTAACTGTGCGCGTTGTCGCTTATCTATGCTACTCATGATAAACAAATATGAATACGAGGCCCAAACTATGCATGCACATCTAATCCAATGGCGGACGACGGATCTCATACTCACAAGGGTATGCAATATTGCCTACCTTGACTAGTCTTTGAAACTGCTAGACCAGTGCCTATATACAATGCTTATTATTAGGCCCCAACTATGTGCAGTGTTCTTATTTAACTGCTAAAGATTGTCCATCATACCCATGACTGTGCGCGCTCTTTGCTTATATATGGCACTTATAGTATCCTCACTGAGAGCATGACATCAGTGTTCAACGTCGACGTTCACTGCCGTACCTGCCTGCTACCTGTAGTAGAAACCAGGCCAGTATCTATGTGGTCTGCCAGAAACCAGGCTCCAACTATGCGTGATATTTTATTCTAACGGCCAACGACGGTCCGTCACACTCACAATTGCAGTCGATATCGTCTACCCTGGCTACTTCTCGCGATCGGAAGCCTCTGTCTATGTGCTGAATATGAGGCTTCAACTATGCCCAATAGCCCAGTTTACTGGCCAACGAAGGCCCGTCATGCTCATACCTGTACTCGGTCTCACATGCTGAAGCTACTTCTAGTAACTGCCAGCCCATGCATATGATCGTAGCCGACTATAATGTCCAAACTATACATAGCGGACTAATCCGACGACCAGCGGCGGTCCTTCATATCCATAAGTCGTTCACCTGCCAACACCCCATGTCCGAAAAATACAAAACCACCTATCACAAATCATGTTTCTCTTGATTGATTTCATCAGCACAAGCATAATGTGTGGCCAATTCACTTCTCAGTTTTTGACTCGACAGGGTTTCTGAAAAAGTGTATAATCAATAGCGACTCGTACACATCTTCCGCGATATCGTTTAAAACACAATTAAACAAAGTTATAGTGGCTTGATCACCGGGTGATTAATAAACCCCTTTGTCCAAAATTACCGGTCGGTGTCTGCGCTAAACATGGAGATTCACCGTTACAAAGTTAAACTCACTACTTGCTCAATCAGTCCAATCAGCGATAAAGAGGGAGCCCTGTGTGCATCGATGATTCGGTAGCGGGATTCGCAACCATATGCATTATTGAACGCGGCAAAGTTGAAGCTAAAGAGGGGTGTTTACTTTCCAGTCGTGAGACCAAGTGGCGGAGACTTGGGCCCCAAGTTCCAAGGGCCGCACGCATCCTCAAACGTGCACCCATGGATGCAGCCGTAGCGAAGGTATGGTGAGTGGGCGGGTGGTTGGTGTCAGATCCGCTCGTTTAGAACACAATCCCAACTCCACTCGATTTCTGCTCCATGATACCGATAAAATGTAGCTTAATAAAATCGGCAGCTCGATCTTCATCGAAAGTTGAAATCATCACATACCCATATATATTGGTAATCTAGCCAGCAAGTAACCTCCTTCTGGGCTTCATCCAACCCATTATTCATGTCAAGGTACTGCAACCCATCTTCACTTCTGAAATCATGTCAACCATATCCGAATGGATAAGCTGGCAAGATAGCCGAAACTGACGCGATCCAACTGTCCCAGATAATGATGATGATTTTGCTTGGGACTGTAAGGACCCAGTCTTCAGTGGAAATCCCCGATGCATAACTAGAAAATCGCTGTCTAACTGTCGCCTTACGGATTTGCCTACACCGACCCACACGAGCAATGGCTTTGTGACAACCGTTGTTAAACACCTGAAAACGCCTTGGTTCAACTTCTCAAACAGGCCATGTCTCAGCTATACAACAAAACAGTCCGTACTTCGGCCTGATACACACGTTGCTTGATATCCATGGATATCCCGCTTTGACGCCATAGGTGCTTCAAATTAACAAACGCGACCCGAGCATTGCATGTTCGTGCGTTGACGTCATCTGTCACACGACAATCAGAAGAAATTCAACTTTGAATGTACATGAGACCACACCACCTCTCCAACTGGACCACAAAAATACCTGCAATCCCACATAAGCCTTGTTCTACGTCTGATGATTTTCTCGTCCAACCAAAATATCCTCCTCCTCACAGAATTGCACATCCAAGCCAAATCATCTCAAAAATGATGTACGGCAGGGGACTCTCCAGAAACCGAGGTATTCCAATGCAATGATGGCATGGCACTGCTATACTCGGTTTGACAGCAAATTCGCAACCGCGCACTACCCTCTCTCAACTTTACTCTATCACCCACTTGTTCCATTGCATGTATCTATGGACAACCTAACGTTTTATCCTGACTAATCTTCTGATCATGCCTGGCGGTAGGCCACCCACCTGCTGGAATAAACGTCGTTATGATAATTAGACATTGTGGGTACAAAGTGCACACCAAATGACAACATAATTATCATCATCACTGATAGAATAGCGAGAGATGCCAACAGAGACCCACCAGATACACAAGGTATGACGCCTCAGACGCAACTAATTCTGCAAGGCCCCGCGCTTTTCTTTTGGTTGTAACAGTTCCATTCTGAAGTCAACGAATCGTACAAACATGCAGCAACGCCAGATATCTCTGATCCCATGTCTCCGCAAGCACTGAGCTACCTAATTTGCGCACAATCTAGTGAATGCAGGTCCCCCATAATCACATACGCCAACTCCAGTTCTCATCGATCGCATACCCGAACATCGATTATCGCTTTTAAACCGGGCAGTGTCGCACCATTGAAGCAGTTAGGAATTGTGATAAGTTTTGACTGTCTATTATTTTGAGAGGCATTCTAACTCACAAAAATGCTTTCTAGCAAAATTTTCGGAAATTTATTCCATTTTGAGTCATAAATATGGGCCTGGCTGTCTTATTACCTCGCTTGAATGGCAGTGATGAACCACCACGAACCCTTGATAGACCCAATAATATCCTAACTACAATGACAGCCATAAACGGCTCATCCAAGCTGTTCATGCACGGGGTTGTCCATGATCCGAAGTACGGCGTCGCAATGAAGGTACTGCGACTACCATAGCCAGTATGATGGCTTGCCCGTAATTCACCATATCTATAATACTTCCTAGACAAGCGCGTTACCTAAAAGACCGTTTCAGTCCGATTACTTTGTACAAGGACTCCGAAGCAGTGGCCATCTTATTGTGCCGTCAGCTTGTTCCGCTCACAAATTC